GGATTGGGACTTGGTCCGTCCCGTGAGACAGTAAAGTCGAATAGCTTATTGTTAATTACATGTTCCCTCTGTCTTCTAGAAATTTGGCTGCCATTCATGTTAGAAACCATGCTTAGGCCATATGTTACAATTGTTGGGACTCGCAGCGGTTGAGTACTTGTTGATTAACATCTGTTTGCTGTCTTGAACTCAGTCACAGTGCTACTTGCGAGTCATATCTCCGTTTCCTTTTGTTTTCTTGTTGACACTTGTTATTTTCTCTTTTGGCTGATTTGTTTGATTTCTGAAAGTACGAGGGGGATGGAAAGGTTAGTGACTAAGATGGGGCCTGAGTGCCGAGCTGTGAGCTATGCGAGGCTATATGGATTGGGTTTCACGCTACAACGAGCCTTATGGCTATTTATGGACTGTGGATCAGGTTGCACACTGCAACAAGCCTTATGGATACTTATATGATTGGGTCGGGCTACATGCCTCAACGATATAGCGCTTGGGCTGAAAGGAGCCCCTCCATAGTCTTCACACCCCCAGTGAGCGCATGTAGCTATTGAGTGTGAGTACTGAGGGCTGAGAGCCGAGTGATTGAGTTGTTGTGACGAGTTGAGCGACTGTTGCCCTGAGAGGCTGTACTTGTTTTTCATTTGTTGATGCACTTAGCTTCTATCTGTCATTGTTGTGAAATTTCTGAAAGATTCTATATCTTGATTACCTGCACTTTAACTGTGTAAAACTTATTTGACTTAAACTGTCGGATTTGAAAGCATGTCTATTCTTTGCTGGAATTATTGAAAATGAACTGTATTTGTATAACTCGTCACTACCTTCTCAGTTCCTTATTTATTTTTGTTACTTACTGAGTTGGTTGTACTCACGCTATACCCTGTACTTCGTGTGCAGATCCAGGTATTCCCGGTCGTAGCGGGTATTGATATTTGAGCAGCTGATTCCGGAGACTATCGAGGTAGCTGCATGGCGTTCGCATGCATTGGCTCTCCTTCATTATCTTATTCACATTTCAGTTCTTATTCCTTAGATGTTGTATTAGACTGCTCCTGGTATAGATGCTCATGTACTTAGTGACACCCCGATGTCGAGCTATTTTTCCGCACTTATGCTTTAGGTTTTACCTCATTTTTATGAAAAACTCCGGTTATTTTAAATGTCTTGATTCATTTCTATTAAATGCTGAAAGTGTTTGGAAACGCCGGCTTGCCTAGTATCACGATAGGTGCCATCACGACGATTTAGGTTTTGGGTCGTGACAAACTCTTAATGCAATTGGTTTGTAGTTATTTTGTTCAAATACTGAGTTTATTTATTAGTTTTCAGTATTTCCTAACAACACTGCTTAAAATTGAATGGATTATGTATTTTTGTATAGTAGTTGTAGACATAATTGTAGTTAAACTGTAAAAAAAATTATATAGTAACAATATCGAGATCAAGTACTTTCAACTTTCAACCAAAAAAAAACCACAGATGTTTTCTATTCTAAGTAGTAGAATTCTGGACAAAATAACAAAACAAAAGGTAAAACAACCGTAGCACAAATCTGCTACAAATAAATTGCAGCTGACTTGTTCTTAGTTAACAATTTGTCTACAACTTTACTACAAACCAGCTACAACTAAACAGTTTAACTATAATTTTTCTACTGAAAAGGGAAACTAATTCTTTTTTTTTTCCGGACTTGTGTTCTCTCGTTCACCGCTGGTCCACCTTTTCTTCTTGCTAATCTTCCAGTCACCTCACTTTCAATAATTGCACCAAGCTCTTGCTTTTTTCTAGCATAATCCCAAAGTAGCGCTTTATAGCGTCTACGGTGTTGATCAATTTCAGAAAGGTCTTCCTTTGAAATCGCTAGTTCTCCAATGCTGACATATTCTGCAAATGCCGCCACGTATACACCACAGTCACTGCAAAAAAAAAATAGGGGAAAAGATTTAGCATTCAATGTAAAATACAATCTGTTAAATAGATAGAAGGAAAAGCAATTTTTTCATACAATGATCCCTCTTTTTGCTGGGGTATCTCACCGACCAATCACTTAATGTCAAGATGGTTAGTAACACCTTTTTTGATGTATGCCTTTGTGTTCTTGTAGTTGATGTCTGGACGCTTTCCATAGAAGCCGGTGCATGACAAGTAGAGGGGGATCATAACAACAAACTCGTTGACAACAGATTTAACAAAGTTGTGATTTCGTGAAGAGACCATAGAATCATAAACATATAGAACCCTATCGGTAATGTCAAACACAGCCAACAACCAATGAAATTTCTCCACAATATTTATGGGCATAATAAAAAAATTAACTTTATCCCATGCAATATTTGCAAGTAACCTGTACCCCAATATGTATTTTGATACGACATCTTGGGGTTTGACAACAGCAGGCTTCTTATTGGCAGGAGCATTAATGTACCTCTGATAAATTTGTTCAATTCTATTCTTGAACATACAGTCAGTGGTTGTAAACCGTGTTTTGTTTTGAGGACCATACTTTCATCTTTTCCTCAAATAGTATAAAATAACATTAATGTGCTGCAAAAAAAAATAGATTTCATTATTTCTCAGTGCTTCATACAATTTAACTACAATTTTCAAACAAAAAAACTATAGAATTCTAAAATAACAGAACACTACAGCTAATCATTAAATTCTGCCAGGGTATGTGTGTACTGTGTCGTTGAGGACTTGCCCGGGATGTGCCAAAGTATAAAATCACTCCTTTTTATCCACTTTCTCCACTCCAAGATCATACCACGGCTTGAGCTGGTTATCTTTTAAAGAATAAGGCACCTTCCTTCTATTTAAACACATAGCAAATACAATTATTATGTAGTTTCAACTAGAAATCCAAAAATTGTATGCACTCGATAATATGAAAATATTATATAATCTAACCTCTTTGAAACCTTGTTGGTACCAAAGTATAACCACTTATTGAATTCTTCCAACAAGTCAGGATCAACATCGTTGCCAATAACCCCAGTAAATGGATACTTGATGAGAAAAAAGAGGTCCAACAAAAGTGGTTCCCCCAGAACTGTAAAAAGGGAGAAAGGGGATCTGGCATGCTTTCCAGGCTACCTTGTTCTTCCTTGATGCACATGAGTTGTTTCATCTTCATTAAGTTCGCCACTTAACAATATGAGAGAAGTTCTCTGGTAGCTCAAAATCATCAAATATTACTTCCCTTTTTCCAGACCTGTAATCATTGTCCGAATCACCTACATTGATGTAGTCAGCTGGTTCACCTTCAAAATTTAAAACAAAAGAACAACATTGTATACTGGTTGCATCAGTTCTTTTTGGAAAATTGAAACTTATATAAAACCTGTTATTTTTTTCCTACAATTATATTGTAACATATAATACCACTGAAATCTTCACGGCAATCGTCTCCTTGTTGTATAACGTTTGCTTGTTGAATGGGAGATTGCAAATTCGTAGTCTCATTCTCCTCATTTAAATGCTCTCCTTGTATGCCAACTTTAGCATCCTGTTTTGGAGAGTCCACATGCATAGTTTTCTTCTCTGTTACAATAAATGTGTATAACTTAATAAAATTGTAGATAATTTGTAGTAAACAGAAACAACACTGTAGATATATTATAGTTTAATTATAGTAAATTTGTTAAAATGCTTTCCTGTAGCTGAGATGCAATATGTATTGTGAAATATGTTGATAAAATGTACTAAATCATACATGCAGTTTCTTCATCCAATACCCCTTGAAATTGGGAAGATAAGTCAACGCCTACAGGAACATTCTCCTCATTTTGAATGTCATCCATGTGTCCTGTATCTAAGAAAATAATTGGAAATATAATGTAGATTATTTGTTGGTAATTTAGGCTATATGTAGATATAATGTAGATATAATATTAATATAATGTAGAATATAATTTTAACAATTATGTTAAAATTATTAAGATACATGTTTTACTGCTGCTGGCCAACACTGGTTTAGCACTACTGTCCGAATTGTGTTGATTGTTGTTTTCTTTGTAATGCTCATCATTTTTTGTAGAACTGCCAGTAAACTACAAGCATAATTTGTTAGGCTATATACTTAATGAATGATAATAGAAACATATACATGGTAAAAGTTATTGTCCAAAATGAATATATTTCAAATGAAACCTTAGCATCAATGTTAGTATCCTTTTGACTGTTTATTTCCTGTAAAACAGACTTGATAGAATCATTGAGTAGCGGTCGAATGCTGCCTAGTTCTTCAAAAACCTAAAGAACAAAAAAATTATCATAATGTATCTTACAATTAGAGGCTTACATGTGTGTGTGTATATATATATATATAAAGAAGACTAAAAATCAAGAATTAGGTATACCTCTTTCTTGAAGGTTCCAAGGTCTGAACCCACCTACGTATTAAAATAGAAAGAGTTAACGAAATAATTTGCATAACATAAATTAAAGAAACCAGCTAGGATTATGTATACATGTTACCTTATCAACATCTTTTCTTAATTATTTTTATTTGTTTCACAATATCTTTCTTGTCATCTATTCCCATTGTCTGCTTATGTCCAGATAGAGATGGAGCAGCTATCGGATGCTCGGCCTTTGTTTCAGCCTCTTCAAGTATGTATTCAACTTTGTCTGGCAAAGTCATTCTTGAAAGCTCTTCTGGGGATTCAAGTATGTTGGTGAACTGAGTGAAAATAAATGCGAGGGACCTAGTCATAATATGTATAAAATATGTAGATAATTTGTATTAAATTGTATGTCCAGAAGTAAAAAATATTTACCATGATCCATGATGGTTTGATCATTCTATCTTCCAATGCAGATAATCATATCTTGTCCTTACTAGCTGTCCATTTAAGTATACCGGGGATCGAATTACCAACTCTTGTAGCTATATCAGTGTTGACTGTAGAGCAACACTCATACAACCATATTTGCATAGCGAGTGAAAAATCTCGAATGAGATAAAAATGCACAAAAGGGTTGAGCTTGTGCCTAACGGACTAAAGCAATTGTGTATAAGCTTCGATACCCCATGCGTTATTCGCATACTGCCCCGAGTCCACCAAGTAGAACCTAAAATGGTCTATCAAACCTAAATTATCTTTGTCTGAAGGACATAGGAAGAATTCTATCAGATAGAGAATACACAGCTTGACTGCATCCTCATCATTCACCCAACTACGGCTGGTTACAATTTTTTTCAAGTATGATTTCTCAACTTTTTTCTTGTTCGAAAAATAGCTCCTTATTATTTTACTATCATACTTAGTTGTGTAACCAAAGTTTGTCACTTCTGTAAAACATCTAAGGCCAGTGATAAGGGCAAACTCCCTCAATCCAAAGTTCAGCATCTCACCTTTTATCTCTCCTGTAAAAAAGTTAGAACCAGATGCGTTCAATTCATACTTCATGAGAAGGTGAATTGCCTGATTTTGGATACATATTTTGGGCAGGGAAAGAAAATGCCCAAAATATGTCTTCTTAAACAACTTTAACCCATTTTCAGATAATAACACCTTGATTTGGCTAGGAATAGCAGCGTCGGATAATGTCTGGAATCTAGTGATGCCATAATCAACATCATGTGGTGCAAAAAATGTTCGATTCTGCACCAAAAGAAACAATAAGTTAATAAAACTTGTTTGAATACTAGAAAACAAAATAAATATATTTCTACTACAATTTAGCTACAATCAAAAAGATAGTAATACATTGCATACAAGTAAGTTATATTGACAAGGTGGGTTGCTATGATGGTAAGCATCCTACACTTTCAACCAAGAGGTTGTGAGTTCGAGTCAACCCAAGAGCAAGGTGGGGAGTTCTTGGAGGGAAGGATGCCGAGGGTCATTTGGAAACAGCCTCTCTACCCCAGGGTAGGGGTAAGGTCTGCGTACACACTACCCTCCCCAAATCCCACTAGTGGGATTATACTGGGTTGTTGTTGTTGTTGTTGCATACAAGTAAGTTATAAAATTAGTAAACATATATAACAACTGACTATATTGAAGCTACAAATGCACTGATAAAATTATGTTTAGAACAAAAAATTAGAAAGTAACAATTAGACATAATATATACAATTTCTTTACAGAAAATAAAACTAACATGTACAAAATAGAGCAAATAATAACCAATAAAACCAACTAAATCATGTAGTACATTCCCTAACAAAATAATTTTGAATAATATACAAGAAATTTATAATTTACAGGAAAATGTAGAAAAGTTGATAACCTATAACAAATATACATAATGTAGACAAAATTTCTACAAATATAAAAAAACAAAAAATATGAATAGTCATGAGAATGAGAACGGGTTTTTTAACTTAAAAAAAAAAAACCAAAATTGTAACTACTAAAATTTTACCTTCTCCAATGACTGTTGGGGTATAGTTTTAGGTGATTTTTGAATCTTCTTCTTTTTTGAAGGTTTGACAGTAGGAGAAACTATGATTGTTTTAGCAGATGTCGAAGCTTCACAAGCATCCCTATCATGCTTAAGTTTTGTTCGAGCTTCTGTCTTAGTTTAACGAGGGGAAAGCTTGGATTTTGTCTTTGGTTTTGCATGTGCCGATTTCACTGCATTTTTGGGTGAATCGTGTGAGAAAACACCCAAATCAAAAGTAGGAATATCACCAACACTAGCGTTTTAAGGGCTAATCTTCGGAACTATTTTCTTATTCATTGAAAGGGAAGGAAAAATTTAAGCAGCTACTATTTTGGTAGGATTTAGAGCTAGAATTCAGAAATATTGAGAGAGATTTTCGAAGAAAAGTGAAAGAGGAGCGTTAATGGAGGGAGATAGTGCAGAAACGCGGGGGGTATGGAGAGAGAAACGTGGGGGAGTGGGATATGTACGTTAGAGAGATTATATGAGTTAATTGATTCTCATTAAATTCCTAAAATGTACATAATTGGTAAATTATATATGCCTATGTAATTAAATTGAAACTTGAGTAGAGAGGGTAATAAAATTTTAAATAGTGTATAGGAATGTAAAAATTTCTATTAGTAATGTTTGATATTAGTTATGCTTGCATTAGTTATGCTGACATATTTCTTATTCATTGTTTGGTTTGATGTATTAAAGCATTGCACAATATCTAAAAAAGTTATTTATTTACAAAAGCAGCCTCATAACCAGTCCATCACTTTATCTTTTTAAAAGAAACATATTTGAGGAATATTTTTATATGAAAAAGTTTTAACAAAAATTATTTGATTTGTTGACCTTTGAAGTATAGAACTGAATATTTATTTATAAAAAAGGAAACATGCTAAGTATTTATGTATCTGCTTGGGATATAATTTGATTTCCCACTTTCTTGGATTATTAGGCAAAGAAAGTTTGAATTAAAAAAATAAAAAGAAAATGAGTTGATTACAAGTGCATTCCAATACCTAGTAGTAGAGTATTGATTTATAAATTTATAATGAAGAAATTGGAGGAGGATAGATATAAATAATGGGAGCAATTTCAGTATCAAACTTTATATAAAACTTGCATTAATATAATAACATATTTTAAGCAAGAATAAATTTTGAAGGCAATTTTTTCTTTAACTAAGCTAATGCATGCATTAAAACCCGTTGCATTGTTAATACCATGGTTTCCTATGCATTAGTTATGCATAGAATAATACCAAATATGGTGTATAACTAATACATATGTTCAAAAAGTGAACCAAACAAGATATTATTGATACACAAAGCTAATGCATGCATATATAATGTGTCTAGGGATATTCATAAAAACCCAAAAAATAGAACCAAACCGAAAATCGAACCAAACCGACCAAAAAAACTGATACTTTTTAGGTTTTATTTGGTTTTGGTTTTGAATTTTAAAGACAGATCAAATTTGGTTTGGTTTTGATTTTAATAAAAAAATAACCGAAAAAATCGAACTAAACCGACTATAGATGTAGTTATTTAAATTAATTATTACACACACACACACACACACACACACACACACATATATATATAAAATTTCTAAAATTTTATGGTACATATTAGTCGTTTATATTTTTAGTTCCATAAACCGACAAAAACCGAATCGATAAAAAACTGACTTAATTGGTTTGGTTTGGTTCCAATATTTGAAGAACCGACTTACTTGATTTGATTTCTTTTTAGGGAGAAACCGATCCAAATTGAACCATGAACACCTCTAAATGCATACTGCCAAACGACCCATATATTTCAAATTGAAACCAACGCAAAAACAGAATATTTTGAAATCTTAAAAACTGACTCAAGTCACTCAACAACAGTAGAATTCAAGACAATTAGTTTTTTTGACTCAGAAAATAGAAAAACTAACATCTTGTTTGGATGGTTGTTACCTATTGTATTGTATCGTATTGTTACTTTAAATACAATGTTTATTTTGATTGTTACTTAAATTTTATTGTATTGCATCGTTAAATTCATCGTTACGTAACGACAAAAAATGCTACTTTATGAAACGACAGATTTGGTATGGTGGCGTCGTTTCCTTACTTTTTTCTCTCATCTTGCCCTTCCTTATAATTTGATAATTATAATTTATCTTTAACCCTACTTTTTATATAATAATTTTACTTTGTATCCTATTTTTTCTTAGTAATTTTGCAAGTTTATTCTTCATATTGTTGGTGCGTGTCATCATGAAACGACAGTAAATGATACAATCTATTAAAACGTTGTATTCATCAAACAATACAATACAATACAATACAGTACAATACAATACGATACATTATGAAACGACCGTTAACAACAATCTAAACAAGCTGTTAATTTCCAAAACCCACTTCAAAAAACTGAAAATACAACAATTTTTACCCTAATGTATAAACAGAAAAGTAAAACTAAATGGGATGAACTAACAGAGAAATTAGAGAAATAAATAAGAGAGAATAGAAGAAAAAAAACGGTCGCCGGTGGAAAATGATGGCAGGCAGCGGCGAGTGCCGGAGAAGTAAGTGTTCGACACCGCAGAGAAGAGGAGAAAGAAAGAGAGACACTTCAAAAGAATTTTTCCCAAAATGACACTTAAAACCCGCATTTATAAATGTATGGACTTTAAGAAAATGCGCTTCTAAGTCATATTCTTGAAATACGATTTACAAGTCGTATAGATCGCTCTTCCTAAAGGCGTCACTGCAAAATGGGTTGAACAACTTAAGAGCTAAATGGCATGGTATAACAACCTATTAAGAGAATTGGCATAAAAAAACACAAGTTTTAAATATTGGTACCATATAGCCCAACTTTAAGTTTTTCTTTCTTTTAATTGATATTTCATAGCCAAATTTATTTTATTCAAAATCAAAAGTAACGTTCAGCACATCCCCCTCTCTCCTTCTTTAACGCTATTCTTCTCTATCTTTCCCAAATTTCATATTTTTTAAATCCCCTAAATCTCTCTTTTTCTCCGATAAATACTCTCTTATGGTTTCTTCTTAATCTTTTTCTCAACTATTTCACTAAATCAAGAGTCTTTTGTAGAATTTCAATGAGAATATCAACATTCTTTCCAAGTTGAAAGATGGGTAAAAATTCAACCGCTAAGAAATCAAAATCTTAAGCTACAGTGGTCAAATCTCTATCTCTTCATGTTGATTATGACTCTGTTTTCGAAGTTACGGTGTTAAAGAGGTTGAATTCACCACATGCAATAGCCGTTCAAAAGGACAATCAAAGGAAAAAACGGGTTGATGCAATGTATACAAAAGACAAAGGAAAAAAAATCGCAAACGCGTCTGGTATACAATAGAATGTTGTTGTTAAACCCAAAAAGAGAAAGCGTGTTAGCACGGAGGAAGTTGAATATAATAAACATCCTTTGAAGGTATTTTTTAATCTTAATTGATTTAATGTATTTTATCCGATTTATCCTTTACATAGAGTTAGCTATAGTTCTTTTCTTTCTTGGGTGTTACTTGAACAATTAGGCCGGCATCGTTTCTACTACTTAAATAAAGTTATTAGCTAAATATGTGATTTTGTACAAAGCGTATTTAAGCATTAGTGTCACGACCCAAAATCTCACCAGTCGTGATGACGCCTATCTCAATCTTAGGCAAGCCCACAATCTTAATAAACCACCATATCTTTGAAATTTAAAAATAAAATAATTAAATTCAACAGAAGAAATCTCACATATACAAATATAACACTCCCAAAACTCGGTATCACTGAGTACATGAGCATCTAATATGAATACAATGTCTGACTGATAAAATCACTGTCCGAAAGTATAGAACAGTACAATAATTGAACAGGAAAGAGAGACAAGGTCAGCAGATGCCAAGCAGCTACCTTGATAGTCTCCACTGATAGTACTCTGAAATCTAACAGTCTCCGTATTCAAAAGCATCTGGATCTGCACATGAGGTGTAGAGTGTAGTATGAGTACAACCAACTCAATAAGTAACAAGACTAACCTCTGGGAGAAATGATGAGCTCCGTAGGTACAGTCCAGTAAAAATAATGGTACAGAAATGTAGGCATGCTTTCAAGTTCAACAGTTAAACTCAGTACAAGTGAAATAGATCAATACTGCATGATATGAGGAATATGATATCTCAGTAGAAAGACCTCCTATAAATACT